ATCTCATTCACCCAAAGATATCTGGATTTGGAGTGGGTAATCCCACAGAAGCTGGCATTTCTTTGAACTGGGTCTGACTTCAATCTCCTGGCTCTGGGGCTGTGTGCGCCTTATGTACAGATGTGCATGCACATCTGGAGGGGAAGACTTGTGGCAAGGAGGGGCAAGGCAGCACTGATTACTGAGTGATGGATTACTGTAGACTGCTGTAGGGTTAGAAGTGCCTCTGCACCCCAGGAAACCCCACAGATGAAGGGGTAGGAAATAATGAGGGATGAGGCAGACACAGGGATGCAGAGCCCAAGAGAAAATTAAAGACAGTGGGGAAAAAGCAGAGGAAGTGGGAGAAAGAGACTCAGGACAGGAAGAAAAAGACAGTAAGGGAAGTAGCTTGTCAAGGAAAATTTTAAGCATAGAAGGAACAAATGAAAGAATTAAGTTAACCAATTGAACAGTATATAGTAAAACCAGAGAAATAAGGACAAGAAAGGAAGGGAAATGAGGAAAAGGGAGGAAAATGAGAACCCTAAGCCTTTTTATTTTTTTTAACATGGCCACCTATTGGATTTGTCCCATCAGAGAAACATGTACATTCCCAAAGGAGCTGTTAGACCTTCTGTAACACCAGCTTTCACTCTCACACTGGCCAGTTTGCATTGCCTCTTGTCCTGCAGAAAGCTGTGCTTAGCCTGAGTGTCATGTCCTGCCTCATGCCCTCTCTCAGGTGCTTCCTGTTCTCCTGACCCTCCTGGAGCCAGGGAGCTGCTGAGCCTGCCCCATCACAACCCCACCATCACCTCCAAACCACCTTTTTTCTCATGGGCATTTCCTCACCTACTTCAATTTCTGGGCCATTTTAAATGAAGTATCAAGAGGAGAGAGGTGAGTTTTCTCGTCTGGGGTGGCCTTATAAGCTGTGTCCTGACAGTGCAGGGTCATAACCCTCCCACCAACTTCCAGTAACACTCACACTCCCCACAAACCATCATTCCCCAACTGCCAGGCAGGAAGTTTCTCTCTTTAACTGCTGCTGAGAGGGCATTAAACAACCTAGAAAAGAATTCACAAAATGGGTCAAGGCCCTGCTCTATTACCATATGGGCTTTGTATTTTTCTGCCTTAAGTAGGTCTTGTTCTTTTCTGCTATGCTGTAGAATAGAGTTCTGTCCACAGATCAACTGACTTGAAAGCACATCCCCTCACCATTGTGCAGGGGGTTTCTTTGAATTTTAAAAATTACCTTTTGCAAATGATAAAAAGGCTGCACTTAACCCGGTGAGTTAACCCAAGCACGTGGCTAATGCAATGAAATGGGCTCTGATCCAGCTCCCTCACAGAGAATCCTCCTCTTCTCATGGCAATCAGCTGGCTTGGTGCTGAGCACAACTGTCCTAAGGGGAATTTCTTTTCACTGGAGCTGGGTCAGCAATGCCACCAATATTCATGAAGGATTCACTTGAATGCTTGTGATGAGGGCAATGCTGCTGATGGGTTCCTATTGGTAATTTAGTCCTTGTCCCAAATTCCTTGGCAATGAGAAGTTCAGAACCTGCCTCTGCTGAAACTCACCCACACAAGTGCTGATGACCCAGTGGCAGAGAGCTGGTCGTGCTGCTGTGCAGGGATCGTTGCATTCGCACACACACAGCAGCCAGTGCAAGGCTGGCTAATTCACATCATATGTCAAGGCCAGGACAGCTGTCCCCTGGCCACCATTTCAGGGGCTGGGGACATATGTACAAAACAGGTACTGCTGGAGCCAGTGAAGGATACAAGGTCCAGCAGCAGCAGCCAAAGCAAATTATTTGCTGGATTATATGGCCTATCAGCAGAGCTGCCTGGCTCCTCCTTGGATTGTTTGGGTTGAAATATCACATTTTATAGGCTTATCTGGGGTGAGATTTCTGTAGAAAAGATTTCAATGGTCTCTTCACCAGGGCAGTCTAAAGAGTAATGCCTTTTTTTCTTGTGTAGGAGATTTCTTCCTATGAGTAGAGGTAAGACTTTCATATCTGGCTGAAACATGAGGATGGAGAAGGAGATTGACTGGAAGGATAAGATTTGGGGACAAAAATGCCAAGGTAGGTCATTTGGGTACCAGCTTCTTACTTCATAAAGGGATTGTGAATTCACATATATTAATCTCTTTATGGCACTCAGCTAACATGGAGACAAGCACCACAGGAAAGTCCATACAGGTGTTAATAGTTCTGCCTCCCAAGTTCTGCCTCTCAAATTGTTACAGATTCAAGGATGGGATTTCAGGACATTTGCACACTGAGCAGTGAAGATAAAACGTAAGTGCTCACTAGGAGGGCACATTTCAAACTGTTGCTCATGGCTCAGTGCCCTGAAGAGACAGCAGGAGTTTTTGTGCTACTGAAGATTTACCATTATTCATTTGCATCTACGTGCATGTAGCACTGAGACAGAGGGAGAGACCTTCTCTGTTCATCCCATCTCCAATGCAACAGTTAGAGAAGAGCTGCTTTTTGCAGATACCCTGCTAAAAACCCTGCTGTGCAGAGATTTGCTGGAGCTGGGCACAGGCACACCTGAGGTCCTGAAGCACTTAGAAGTGGCATCCATAATGTAAACAGCCCAAAGAAGTTGTCCACCTTACTTGGAGAGTCAATCGACAGCAGGAATTTCTGGGAATAAGAGCACAAAGTCATTTGCTCACAGCTTTCCCATTGCAGCCTTCTGTCCTCTCATCATGAGTTTGCTGCTAAGTTCATCTCCGAGCCCTGTCTGCTAGACAGGTGATAACAACCACAGGGGGAAGGGAAATATCTCTTCCACAGAGGTGCATGTTAATCTCTAGTTTGGATTAAATATATCTCAGCTGCTAGAAACAGCTGGGAAAGATTTTTTTTTCTTTGCTGTTTTTAAGTGTGATGCATTCTTCCTCTTCATCATCCCCTCATGAAGGGGGAAAGAAAAGCTTGGATAAAAACCTTACTCCAGGGCAAGAAAAGATCCAAACTGCAGCTTTGCATAAATCTGTCACTTTGATTCCCCTGAGAACAACTACAAATGTGAAAAATGGCAGAGTAAATCAAGTACAGGTGTTAAGTCCTCTTTTTTTAATTGTGGGGAGAAAAAAAGGGAGAAAACCTTTTTTTGTGGGTTGTGAGCAGCCCCCTGAGCATGTCTTTCACTCAGTTTTATGCTTCATTAGCTCTTCCAGAACTATCTCTATGTCCATGAAATCTTGTTTCTAAATGAGAAAGGAAATGGGGAAATTGTCCCTCATCAGTATCTGCAAAATCCACATTAATATCTCTTTGCTGTGTCTGCTGTTTTATTCGCTCTCTAGAACAATTTGTAGGGCTTTTCCCCCTCTCTCTCACATTTAAACACTAGTGGATCAAAGATTTTTCTGAGTTTGGCTCATGTGTGGGAGGGCAGCTTCTGAGGACACTCAGTGATGTTTCACCCCAGGGTCAGCTTTGCATCCTGCATTAAACTTGGCTCTTTAACTTGCAACAAAGGAACATTGTTGTTACAAACACTTTTTTGCTGTCCTCAATCCTTTCACTTCCAAATGCTTCTGCAACAAGTGGCCAGATTTTGCTCCGGCAAGTGATGGCAGCCGTGGGGGCTGAATTCATCTTTGCTGGCAGTGCCCTGGTTGCACCCAGCAGGACCGACAGCACCTGGAGGCAGGGGCTGCCCCTCGGTGGCACCTGTGTTTGGGGCATGCTGCAGGGCCCCTCACACCAGCAGGAACCGCACAGGCACCTCCTGCTCTGCCTGGGGCTCCTCCTGCCCCCAGCCATCCCACGCAGACCCTGTCTGGTTGCAGCCCAGCTCCACACCCCTACCTTTGTCCCTTAATCTTCCATGCTCTCATTAAGCAGGAGGTGTTTTCCTTAAGGCTCCATTGTGCAGAAGGAAATTGCTTTTGCCACTGCAGTCCCAAGGGCTGTACATTTCTCAGGCAATTAGGCCTTTATCAGGCTCAACGGTGTAGAGATAAGGATTGCTGAATATCTGTTGGCTGACACAGACTGACATAGACATATAGCTTAATTAATGAAAGTGAAATGCTTTGAAGTCCTTTTTATTCTTCTTTTGGGGCTGTTTTTGTTTGTTTGTTTGGGAGTTTTTTATGTTGTTGTTCACTTGTTTGTTTTAAGTCTTTGCCCAGTAAATTGGTAAAAGTATATTTGGAGTAAATGCAGTGAAATTATTTAGGACATTATTGGGTACCACTAGTCACCATGTCTAAGTCTGGCAAGCTGCTCTCTTCAGTCTGGATGGCATTGGTGACCAATTCCCTCCTGTGACAGTCTCAGGACCTGATGGGACTGGAGACCCCAGACTGCTCACCACTTTCTCACACTCAATCACAGCAGGACTCAGGGTGCTGAGCCAGGAGCCCCATCTCCTGCTCTGACATTGGAGAAAGCTGCTCACACCAGGACATCTCTAATCCTACTCAGCTATAAGCCGACTGGATGTGGAAAATGGTTTATCCACCAAGGGAGTTTTGTATTACAGTGCTGCACTGCTTGTGCTGGAAGCCAAATTAATAGTAAGGTTTGGCCAAGTTCTGCATAGTTTGAAACCTGATTTTTGACTCAGTTTCTGTCTGACAAAGAGCACGATTTTGGCATCTCCATCAGCAGCTTTGTTTTCTGGGCTGTTACTCCCATTCCAACAAGCAAGGCACAGGTGGCCTATGCTCAGACAGGATTCCTGTGGGTCTTGTGACTTGTGTCAAAAGCATTACATGGGGATGAGTTTAAACAGATGAAAAGTGAGAATTTGTGGAATTTCAGCAGCCTCTACAATTAATATGCAATGACAGAGGTAGGATGAATTCCACCATTGCAGTACATGGTTTTTCCTGGGGACATGCAGTCCAGGCTAATGTACAGCTCTGCTCCTTGTGTGGTGACTGAGAGATCACACTGAATCACACCAAGAGTTGTGCTGGATTGTGATTGGAGTTTCTCATTTCAGTGATCGACCAACCCTCACTGAAACAAACAGGAGGCTAAAACAGACGTTTTTAATGTGATTTGGGTTGGCTGTTGAAACCCAACATTATTTGTGATCATCTCTCTTACATCCCTCTGAGACTGAAGAAACTTATTATGGACAAGTGCAATCATATACAGATATGATGAACATATGATATGATTAATACTCCACAATTTAGATCAGAGTTCAGATCTCTCTTAAGCAAAAGATCTTTTTCTGCCCAATATCCAGAAGCTAGAAGACAGTTTCCCAAGAGGAATCCTTGGCTCTTGACATTGCTTCCCTCTTGGTTCACCTTTCCTTAAAGGCATTTCAGAAAGTGATGAGTTCTGCACATACTGGAAATTGCAGAATATTTTCTGAAAGAGAAATGCATTGTAAGACAGTAAAACCTAGCTGGTCTAGCAGGAGCTGAAGTCAGGACACCAGAGTGCAATTCTCCTTCCTGCCTCTGTGACATTTTGGGCAAGTCACCAAAAGTCCCACTGTACCCCAGTCTCATTTGTAACTAGGGATAACACCATTTTCTTTGATCACAATGCTGTGGTGAAGAAGAGATCCTGGAACATGATGATACTATAGTAATGGGGACTGTATGAATAAAGCTCATGTTGCAGGAAAGACTACTAGCAAAGGATTGATAGCTAGCAAACTGAGGAAAAGAAATACAGCAGTGAAATGTTAAGAGCTGCTAACTGTGTGTTTAAAGATTTGGGAAAATGCCTACAGCTGTAAGTAGATGCCAGATAAATCAATTATTATAATAAAACTTCTGGGAAGAGGAAGAAATGCTGGAATGATCAGATTATGTGTAATTATGAAGAATATTTTCTGTCCTCTTGGTAACACAGAGTTGCAAGGAATGTGTGTGTTGCCTCCAGAAATGTGAGGGGCCAGGATGTCAAACAAAACAGACAAGAACTGAAAAGGAAAGGAAAAAAAAAATAAAAAAGGAAGAAAAAGAAAATAAAAGCCAAACTAAACAAATGCCTCACAGGTCAATATGCAGCAGCCAGAACTTTGAAAGGCAGCCAAGGGAAATTCCCTGCAAACCTTCCCTCTGCTCACATAGGAATTCCTTGCCCCTAATCTTTGTTTGGGATAAGCTGAATCATGCTATATGGTCTTATTTTTCTTTCCAGCTGTTCACCTCCAGGCTGCACACATGCAAGTGGATCATCAGGGACAAATAAGACTCTACTTTTCTTTTCTTTCCTATGGCCCTTGAGTTCATGGTTGGAGATTTTTGTTCAACCTAGTGGTCTCTGCTGGAGCCACCTTGGTCTGGAAGGGTGATGGGCAGCACCCACAACGACCAGAAGTGGTTGCTGCAGCTGAGAGCTATGCAATTGCTCTTTCACTGACATATTTAATGACAATATGTGCTGCTCACTGCAAAAAAATTATTCATAAAAATCCAGCCCTGATGGCAAGTTGGCAGCACAATTACCTGAACTGTCTGTATACACAGTTCAGGTCACTGGTGACTGTTTAGGCTGTGCTGTTTCAAGATGAATTAATTGCCTCCTGGGTTTCACCTGGCTCTGCAACGTTTTTCTGGATTTACACATGCTGCCAACTGCTGCACAGGAAGCCAAAGGGGAAAGATAGAGCTTGGAGAGAAGATACAGATGGGTCCTATCTAGAAAAGCTTTAGTTTCATTTGCTTCTGGATATCATGATCTCTTCGTGCCACAACTCTTGTTGTGTCACAGGCATTGAAAAGAAATAATAAAAAACACATTGCAAGCCATACAAATAAAAGGCTTTGATCTTGTTCTGCTGTTTGGGAGAAAAGCTACAAACTCCACCCTGCTGAAATGCAGCACTAGCTGAGCTTTTCCTAAACTCACTCCTACAGGCTTCATCCAAATAACAAACTGGGTCCCCATCTGGAGTTTGTGTCATCCTTTTAAAGGACACTTTGATACACAGCAGTAGGATTCCCCCATGCATCAGTTCATAATGTTTTCTTGATTCTTCCCCTTTACAGAGATGACAGGCAGTTTTTACTCCTTGCAGAAATGGCATGCAAGTCTCAATGGGATAACTTGGTGCATCACATGGCTCATCCTCAACAGTACACCTAACAGCCCTGATGCAGTGAGTGTTCAGCACCACCCCAGAGTGCTATTCCTTGTGGATGCTCCCATCCCTTGCCAATATTTTAACACCTTTAAATCAGGCTGTCTGCCTCCTCACACTACTTAGAATTCAGAGCACTTTTCCTAGACACACTGCAAAAGGAACCCAGGAGATTCCCTGAAAGAAAGGAAAACTGTACATGGTATTTTTTATCTTATGGCCCTGCAGTGATGCTATCATGCATCTCCTAGATTGCTGACACCTTGGCATTAATCCTCATTGAATTCCTTTGCCAGCTATATCCTCCTGTCTCAGATATGATTTATGTCTTTACTGATGTTCTGCCCCATTAAAACAAGACTATCCCTCAGAGAAGACCCCTCTTCTCAATATTTATGAGCAGGTTTGATCTAGAGATTCCCAAACCCAGTACTTTCAAAGAAGACATCATGTAGGCAACTTTCATCTATAAATTGCAGAAGCCACCAGGGTGGTATGACAATCTAATGTGAGATCCTACTGCTCAATGATTTGCTGGGATTAAGAGACCGTGTCCCTTAAGCACTGTATAATTTCACTAGGGGTGTTTGGAGTTTATTGCAGTCTTTTCCAGAAATGGCAGCATTTCAGTGAGAGGGTGTTGTGGAGCATCACATTCTAGTGGGATTCTCACTCTTAATTGTGAAAGTATCCAAATGCCCTTCAGAAACATTTCCAGTAGTGTGCTTTTTGCCTTTTTTCTTTTTTTCACTCCCCAAGTTAAAAGCTCAGACTCTTTTATTCTTTGTGTCCTTTATACGATCAGCTCTCAATAAGTACATGATTTATGCTTTAGGATGAAACCTGGAAATAGCACTCAGACCCCTGGAGAGTTCATTCCTACAAACTAAAGATGCTTTCAAACCATTCTGCCTGATTGCATCCCGATACAGAATGATTCAAGAGAGCAATCCTTATTCACTTCTACCACTCCTTTGGAGAGAATCACGACAGCACAGCACAGGGGGGAGCCAGCTGTTTGGCTTTTTTTTTTTATTTTGGTGGTTTTATCCCATTTTCTTCCTCAACCTGTACCTAATTCTCAGATATATTAGCTCAAGCCAGGAGTAACTGCTCTGATTTCAAGTGAGATGGGGTTTACTCAGCTGGCTGCCTACTTTGCTCAATTATTAATGTTGGAACACTATTGATTTTGCCTCCCTGAGCTTAGTGGCAAACAAGTGCTGAAAAATGAAAGTGGCAAGCACAGGAACAAGGAGAAAACAGCACATTCTTCCAACACAGTTCAGTCATCTGAAATCCAGGTGGTCCTTGAAATATATTAATCTTTTCCTTAGAAAATAATTTCCTTTGAAATTATTTTTTCTCTCTCAAATTCCCCTAGTTACATTCACTCAACAGTATTCTTCTTTCCCAAGTTCAAGGATGAGATGTTTCTGGGGTAATGGTTTGGGCAAATGATATTTCTATGGGAGCCAGCTGTAATCTAGGAAGCTCTTTGAGATTTGGTACGTAGAGATATCACACTGAAGAGTTTACAAAGGGAAAAAAACAAAGTAATATATTAACCCAGCTCTCACTCTCAAACACAATCTTCCCGTGCTCAATCCCAAAATGCACTTTACTGGTTACAGTCTCAAGCAGCCCAAAATCTTAGATGGCCCTTTGCTTGCAAAGAATAAAGAAGAGAAAATGCCTCTTAAGAAGTTTACCTTCCTGAGCTCCCCTGCTCCAGCACTAAGTTCACATATCCGATACAAAAATCCTCCAGGACCCTAAAGCGCCTTTCCATATTTTCTCTCTACTCTGGAACACACTATTGGTGCCAAAACTCACCATGTCCAGCTGTGATTCAGCAGCACCTGTGCTCAGCTCAGACTTGGCCTCAAGGAGCAACTACTGGGGCTTTTAAAGAGATTTGTACTAAACCCCACCCAGAGCACAGCCTATAAAAAAGGGGGATGGTTTCAAAGGGAAAGTTATCAGGCCAAGAAAAAAAACTTGCAGAAAACAGAACAGGTTGTGCATAGATCTATAGGCTTTTACTACAGCATCAGGGGGAGCTCAGTGATGCACTGTGAAAAACTGAAAGTAGAAACAATCTCTTAAATGGAAATCTTGTTGGGAATAGTGGCAGAGATATTTGATATTAGTGATGTTTGACATTGGGCTTGATTCAGATTTTGTCACAGGTCTTTTTCCTGAAGAATTATAGGCAATGGGACCTGGACAGGAACTCTGTCACTTGAACCCTACTCTGACATTGGAAGGTTAATAAATGCATAAGGAAAAAATAATGTAATAGTCAAAATAATAATGTCTTAATAGTATCCTAACCCTTCAGTGAGAGAAAGTGCCTAAAAATGTTTAAATTTACTTCCTCTTTCATTGTCTCTTGAATAAATGAATAGACAGAAGTTATGATGTAATTCAAGCACTAGAGTGACTTTTCTTTCTCTTCAGCACAGAGTTGAGGCCATGTACCCTTTCTCCTTTGTACCCTCTAACCTAATAGCCAACCAAAAAAATCAGGTAGCTGGGGGAAAACAGAGAAATAAGAAGAGGTGGCTGCAAGTGAGACAGAAAACACAATACCAAGAGGGTGCTTGGGCACAGGCTCCCAAGGGAAGCGGTCACAACACCAAGCCTATCTGAGTTCAAGAAGTGCTTGGACAACACTCAGACACAGGGTGGGATTCTTGGGCTTGTCCTGCGTGGGGCCAGGAGCTGGACTTGATGGTCCCTGTGGGTCCCTTCCAACTTAGGATATTCTATGATTCTATGATAGGAATTACTGCAAAGAAACTGCCTGGGTTCCTGTTTGGGCCTGCATCACGTCCTGTTCACTTTCAGGGAGCTGAGGAAATAGAAGCAACCGCAAGTATTTTCATCCTGTACACTACATTATCCAATAATCAACCCAAATAAAACGATATCCCTTTACATAAGCCAGCAAAGAAACAACAATAAAATACATATACAGCAAGCAGCAGCTCTGAGGCTACAACCTGTGTACTAATAAGATATTTTAATAGGCTGTTTCTCTGTCCTCACAGAACTCAGCATGTCTAGAAACACATTTTTTATAGCTGGCTTTCTATGACACCAGCTTGTTCCCATCTCTGTAACTAGCTGATTGCAGCTATGATATTAATTGATCAAATTGTAAGCCTGATTATAAGGTCTGCTCCCTCATCTGCTTTATTCCTTGGCTGGATGTCACTTTAGGGAGCAGCAGGGATTTAGAGTGGTGTCTGTCTGTGGCATCCATCCCCTCCCCGATTTGTCATTAAGGCTGCCTGATTCAGGAAGCACAGTCTGCCTCCAGTGGAGAAGCTGGTTACAGAGCCTCCAGCCATCAACCCCACCCGGGTCTGCTCCTGGCTGGGGAGAGAAGATCAAAGTTGTAGAGAGAGGCAGAAAGGCTGTCAGGAGGGATAAAATGCCTCTGTCTCATGCTGTTGAATTCCACAGACCTCATGGGTCACACCTGTGAGATACTGATGTGCCCAGAGGTCCATGCTCTTCAAACAGCCCGCTGGGTCTGACAACTGTGGTACTGCCTAGAGCATCCAAAGGCCAAAGATATACAATATGTTAAGTAGGAGACACCCAAGAGAGATCACTTGCCACTGGGAACACCCACAGGCTACCCCTTGAGAAATCCACTTTTCAGTGGATATGACAGGCAACAACATGGATTCAACCATTTGACATCTGGGTATCAGTCTGCATCTCATCAGGCAGCTGGACTTGATTTTTGCATATCTCTCCCCTTAATACCTAGGTATTTCCTCATGTGGAGAAAATACATCGTCCCTGTGCTGCCTGGCTCTACCACGAGGAACTTGTATGTTGCCAAAGGCATTTTTTATATTATTGGAAATGCTTAGATGGATTGGGAATCCCACATTATGAGTTCTGAGATATTATGTTTTCTCAGTGAAGAGCGTAATGGGACAAGGGAAACATACTCTGCCATTTCTCTGCAGAATCATTTCTCTGTGCTTCATCCCTCAGCAGGGAAACCGAGGCGCTCAGCAGCTCAGGAGCCAAGTCCTGTGCTCAGGGATGAATGGAAGATCCCTCCCAAAGGTCCCATGCCAGCTGCAGCCTGGCTGTGTGGTCACAGAAGACACAGAGGAAGACATTTGTTCCATGACACAATGTAGAGCCTTGGGTGCCAGGGCACCTGAACAAAAAATGGTGGCCCCTGCCATGCCTCGAGGCTCTGCACAACTCAAGTTAGGAGACACCATCATAGCCACATTGTCATACACAAACCCTAAATTAAGACATTTATCACCCACCATGTGGGAATTCACCATGCACATGTGTACCCAAGAGAGATTAGTTACATGCCCAATGTCTAATGGCTTTGCAAGTCACAGGTCCTTTAATTTAATTACCAGTACTTGAAAATGCAGATCAAAGTTTCTGTGGATGAAAACAAGGCTGACTCAAAAATCCTTAACTTTCTAAGCCAAGATGTCCCTTTACAGCTGAAAAAATTACAGAAATAACTGCCACAATAAGTAGATTAACCTCTCTTCTAAAGACATGAAGTATCCAACTAAGAAATACTTTAGTTGCAGTAATTATTTGACTTTAATAAAATAAGTGCACGTATTAAGTGTATTTCATCAAAGTAAACTAATTTTTATTCATACTACTAGAGGTAATAATAAGAGTTAACAAATCAGACACATTGTTTTGTGTCCTAAGAAGCTTTAGAAGCACTAAGGAATTAAGGATTTGCAAATCAAAAGTGGTGAACAAACAAAAACCACTGAACAATTTTAAGAAGCTTGAATAAGCTAGAGAAATCAATGCAAGATAAATGAGAATCCAGAGAAATCTGATTTATATTAAAAATCCCTAAAAATAATCATGCATCACAGTCTGGGTGAAACGAAATTACTGTGTCTTTTTTCCAGACCTGAACAGATGCCCCAAAATGCAGATTCCACCACAGGAAAGGACATTTCTTGGGACATTTGGGACAGCTATAGGGGGTGGTTCTGGCAAAGGTGTGTCATGCAAAGAAGCAGATCTGTGATAATGATAAAACCAGGATGAGAGAAAACTGACAGAAGATGACCAGAATCACAAATACACAGATATATGAGCCAAACATTTTTCTCTGGTTCTATTTCTATGGTGCTACTTGAAATTGCAATAAATAAACAAAACCCTGCTGCTTCAGAAGGGGAAATCAGTGATCAGAGTTCTTTCAAGGTGCCATTAAAATCAAGGCAATAAATTTATGCTTGTACTGAAGCACATAAGCAGTTATTTAACCAGCTCTGGGTCTGTCATTTTTCAGCTATTGGTTATGCTGGACCCTGAGCCCCCTCCCAGGCTTTGCTCACCAGCAGTGCTATGTGTAGTTAGAGCATTTTAGTGCTGTAACTTTAAAGCCCAAACCTGCAGAACGCCAACCTCACTTCAGAAGTGCTTAGCGCCCTCAACTGCCTGAAAAGTACTTTGTTTTCTCACAAAATTTCAGTCTGAGTTTACTGCCTCAAATAGCCTCAGAAAAATTCTCCTTCTCTACTTTTTCTTGCAAACCAAATTATTCCCAGTATCCACTGGTCTCTCAGTGCCATGGGCAGGAACACCTTCCACTAGATCAGGCTTCTCACAGCCCCATCCAACCCAGCCTCGAATACTTCCAGAAATAGAGCATCCATCCATAGCTTTTCTGGTCGACTTGGGCCCATTTTCTCCACCCTCCTTGCAAAAATAATTACTCTTTAAGTACACTCTAAACCTACCCTCTTTCAGTTTAAAACTGTTTATCTTGTTGCTAGTACTCCTGTTAAAAAGTCTCTCTCCATCTTTATTACAAGCCCCCTTTCAGTATTGAAATGCTTCAATAAGGTCTCCCAGAGCCTTTTCCTCTCCAAGCTGAACAACTCCAACTCTTTTAGCCTGTCTTCACAGGAGAGGTGCTTCAGCCCTTTGTTAATTGTCATGGTCTTCCTCTGGACCTGTTCAACAGGTCCAAAGGCTATCTCTCCCCAGCCTTCTACCTTAACCATGTGAGCATGTTTTGAGTCAGCACAAGCAAAACTCTTTTAGGTAAAAACTGATCCAGGTTTAAAACCTCTGGCCTGGTCCACTCTGATCTGGTTGTCTGTATGTCTCCACCTGCACTTCTTTCAATGGCAGTGCTGTCTCAATGAGGCTTAAACACCATACAAACTGCAATCAAAGCCTCCTTGCATCAGTTATATTCCCAGGTATGCTGAGGTACTCCTACAGTCATCACAGAGACAAGCCAAGGCTGCAACATGAGAATATCTCTTAAATGATCAGGGAAAGACTGCAATTTATGACATGTGCTTACAAACTTCATTTCCACCCAGCAGAAACCACAGTATCTCAAGAGCAAGATGAGGATATGGTCCCATATCCTGAGAACTGTTAAAAGTTCATGGCTTGTAGGCCTGGAAGATGCTCTAGAAAAAAAAATCAAGTTAGGTCCTATCAAGAGTGTGATCTGGGGTGTCTTATTGGGAAATGCTATACTGTAACAACGTCCATAACGTTCTGGAATTTTCCTTCTAGTGGTTTGTCTTTGCTGCATCCCATCAAAAATACCAGTGCAGCTCAGTTCACTGGGGTAGCACTATTTCCCTCCTCCAGACTGCGTAAAAGAGAAATAGTGAGGAGTGAAATTACACAACCCACTAGAGTGACATTTTCCACATTTAGCAGGAAAGCAGCTTGTGGAGTCGAAGAGCTCTTTAACCAAAAATCCTAGCAGGACATTTGAGGTAAAAAGAAGGGGCATGTAGAACTGAAAACATTAGGAAGATATTTAAAAAATTATTTAAGCAGTAAAATTGAGGAAGAACTCATTTTCTTCCAGGCTATAGTTGAGAGCTATGTTTTTTTAAAATAATGTTTTAAAAATAATGTAATGCTTTTTTACACTTAAAATAACGTTACACCTAAATATTTTTCTTTTTGACCATCTCTTTGCAGCCAGGAAGCAATGCATTCTTTATGTCATAATGTATGATGGGAGCCTGGCTCATCCCTCCCCATGGCCCACTTGGTCGTATGGAGCTGTTCTCTTCTAATGACAAACACCCATGCATTACAGGATAAAGGAAACATTCTTATCTGTGAGAGATTTTTGCCACAGTACTTTCTGAAGAGAGACTTCCTCAAGTCCATTCACATTAAATTTCCTCTTGAAGATTTATACAAACATTAAGAAGTCACTTCTTCCAAGGGAAGCCTGCTGTGCTGGACAGTCCACTGTGTGTGATTCTTTCTCTACAAGGTGCACTGTCATTGCTCCTTGGCTGTCCAAGACTTCTCCATCTGACCTGGAATCCTCACATTCCATCCCCTTCTTCCATGGCTCTCCAATTCATTCTCAGTTAAACCCTAAAATAGTCCCACTTTTACTTTTGATCATCCTAAGGCAAAAAGTGAACCTCCCTCCCCCACTTCTGAGCCCTGGGTCGTGTTTGCTCATTGATCTGCCAGTATTTTCCTGGCATGGCTGTACT